ACAATGCAATATAAAAAAGATTAACAAATCATTTATTATTCAATATTTAATCCATTAGAAATGTTATAAATATTACAGTATATTACTGTTAACAGTAATTCTGTTTATAGAATCTTGTATTTGTATAATGAACATGTTGATTTACTATGATATACACTGTAGAAAGCGCACTCTATTTGTCAGTATTCTCAACTTTATCAAAGAATAACTTACAGAATTGTTGCTTGTTTAAATTACTAAATATATGCTGACAACTAATATACGGGTATAATGTTCAATGAAGTGTATGATTGAGATTAAGCCCGTCTCTCGACCCTCACGTCCACAGCTTTGGGGACAATGAGCCCTCCGGTGAAGAAATACTCCAATGGTTTCTACAAAATAAATATATTCAAGGTTTATTCAATGGTTTAGATTGTATTGAAGTAAAGCGATGAATGTATTGAACCAAACCTCTGACGGGTAGAACCGAAATTGGTGGACAACACTGATGAGGGCCAACTTGATCTCCATCTGAGCCAATCTCATTCCGATGCAATTTCGAGGGCCGGCGCCAAACGGCAAATACGCGTAGGGATGGTGTGATATATTGTCCGCCAAAAACCTTTCCGGTCTAAANGGTGTGATATATTGTCCGCCAAAAACCTTTCCGGTCTAAACACTTCCGGGTCGACAAAGTGTTCCGGGTCTCTGTGGATGGAATACGTGGGAATGTGGACGATATCGTCCTTTTTGATGGTAATGCCCGTTCCTCTCAGCTCGTAGTCCTGATTGGGAACCCTCTCGAGAAAGACAGCCGCAGGAAATAGTCGTTGGGTTTCTTGAATGACTGCATCCAAGTATTTCAATGAATGCAACACATCGTAATCAACGCCTTTCTGTCATATTAGAGACATTTATTGCTATAAAATACAAATTAATTCATTTATATATGTTTCATACGAATTCCTCGTAGTATCTCTTGGACTCGAGATATAGTTTTTGTTGCACTTCTGGATGTTTGGCGATATTATAGAGACATAACGCCATAGTCGTGGCGGATGTCTCATACCCGGCCAGAAAAAACAACACACATTGAGCTATCAGTTCATTATCGGTCAGCGCTGTCGACAGATAGCAATATATCAATCATTTTAATTTATTTATTTAGCATTTGATTAGTCATTGAATGCATACTTTTGTCCATTCCTTCGTTGGCCTGAATTTCTTTGTATTTCTCTTTATTCTTGTCGTCCACTTCTTCTTCATCATTGAATGTGTTATTGTT